AGGAGCAGTGGAGGGACGCAGAGTCATGTAGTGAGTGCCAGGGACAGGAGGAGGACGCTCACGGGGGACACGACGACCAGTGCGAGCAGTACGAACAGGCGACGTAGGACGAGACGCAGGCTCACGACGCTCTGCAAGACCTCCTGTGGGACCAGTGTAAGGAGAGGGACCAGGAAGAGGCGAGGCAGGCGGTAACTGTGACTGCAACTGGACAGGCGGAAGACACTCTACGGAGGGAGGAGGACGAGGAGGAGGAGCCTGACCAAGAACCTGCTGAAGGAGCGGTACGAAGTACGGTCGTGGCCGCGTAGCGTCTCCAGAAGGAGCAGAGACACCAGTGCCTGGGTCCTCAGCACCAGTAGCAGCTCCACCGCCCGGGTCCTCAGTACCAGCAGCAGCTCCACCGCTCGGGTCCTCAGTACCAGCAGCAGCGCCACCGCTCGGGTCCGCAGCACCAGCAGGAACTCCACCAGCCGGGTCCTCAGCACCAGCAGGAACTCCACCAGCCGGGTCCTCAGCACCAGTAGCAGCTCCAACGTCCGGGTCCTCAGCACTAGCAGTAGCGCCACCGCTCGGGTCCTCAGCACCAGTAGCCGCGCCACCGCTCGGGTCCTCAGCACCAGCAGCAGCTCCACCAGTCGGGTCCGCAGCACCAGCAGCAGCTCCAACGTCCGAGTCCGCAGCACCAGGAGCACCACTCCGAAGACTGCAGCGCCTCGTGTACCACTCTCGGATCTGCTGGAGGGGGGGGAGCTCCCGGGCAGGAGGGGAAGCACCGCGACCAGCTCCAGCAGTACCTCTCCGGAGGCGGCAGTACTGTAGGTACCGCTCCTGCAGCCGCTGTGAGGAGAGGGCTCCTCCAGGTGGAGTACCCCCAGACTCAGCACCCCCAGGCTCCGCACCCGCAGACTCAGCACCGTCAGGCTCACTACCCCCAGGCTCAGCACCCCCAGGCTCCGCACCTCCAGACTCAGCACTCCCAGGCTCAGCACCCCCAGACGTAGCACCCCCAGGCTCAGCACCCCCAGGCTCAGCACCCCCAGCAGGACGAGAGTCAACAGCTACCTCGACAGGCTCACCCGGGTCTACCTGGGACACACCTGAGGGAGCGGCACCCTGAGGGGGGAGGGGGTCTGGTACCTCAGCACCTGGAGCCAGGAAGAGAGGCGGGGGGGGGAGTGGGGCAGTGCGGTAGGGGAAGAGGCGGTAGTAGGGGACGGACTCGTCAAAAGTGACGTCCTGAGAGGCCAGGACACGACGCGAGGTGGCGTGGTAGAACTGCCAACCAGGCGCGTCTGGGACAAAGCCAAGGAAGACACAGGGGACAGCGCGACGGGAGAGCTTGTCCGCGGACGTGTCGCGAACAAAAGCTCGGGATCCCCAGACCCGAAAACGCGACGCATCGCCAGCCTCTCCCGTCCAACGCAGTGTCGGAGAAGTCTCCGGTAAGGAGACACGGGGCCAGAGGTTGAGCTGATGCACAGCGTATCGGACTGCAAACGGCCACAGAAAGTGGGGGGCAGCCGCATGAACCAAGGAGGTACGAGCGACCTCCATGACCAAGCCAATGCGGCGCTCAGCAACCCCATTCTGCTGTGGAGAGGCCGGAAGCGTGAACGACTACTCAATGCCCTCCTGCTGACAGAAGGCCTCCAAGAGGCCAGAGGAAAACTCCCCACCTCTGTCAGAGTGCAGACGGAGGACAGGGAAGTCGGAGCGGAAACGCTCACTGAGCTGGAGACGAGATCTGCGGATCCAAGGGATCAAGACATCAGGGACGTCACCCTTGGTGCGCAAGGGGAAGACCGTGGTGTAGCGCGAGAAGTCGTCAACAACAATCAGGAAGTACCTCTCCTGACCCTGACCACGGACGCGGGCTGGGCCCCACACGTCCATGTGGAGCGTCTGCAAAGGAGCAGTCGTCGGGGGAAAGGAGGAGGAGTGAGGAGCGGCGCGCTGCCGCCCCTCGACACAGGGAAGACAGGGAGGAGCAGGCGAGGGTGGGAGGGGAGGGAGAACTCTGGGAAGACCAGAGACAAGGTACCGCTTGTGCATTGCACGAAGGCGCTGCACGGACGGGTGACCAAGTCGGTGGTGCCAGAGGACGGTCTCGTGCGCCAGAGAGCGACACGAGCAGGGGGCCGACAGCTGACCTGACGTAGACGCAGACGCGGACGCAGCTACCTGAGGGGACTCAGTGGTCAGTGTGTACAGGTCCGACCCCGGCTGCCGAGTGAAGGTAGCCAGGTGACGGCCCGTCCGAGCACACGTGCAGTGTGTCACGCGCTCGTAGGCAGGGGTGAACTGGTGAACACCCGCATCCTGGAGTGCACAACCCGCCACCAAGTTCGTAGAGAACGAGGGGAGGTGGAGACCTGACAGTGTGCCCGACGGGACCGCAGGACAGGGAAGAACAGTGGAGGAGGTCGCAATGACCGGACCCCCAGAGGGGTCAGCGAGGGAGACAGCAACTGGCCGAGCAAGCGGCTCAAGGGCAGTGCGGTCACGAAAGAAACAGCGAGAAGCACCTGAGTCCAGGGTGAAGGTGTGCAGGGCCTCAATTGACTCAGTACCAGGGGGCGCAGACTCACTAGGACCTAGAGTAGCAGCCTCACCAGCACCTAGGGCAACAGACGTACTAGCACCTAGAGCGGCAGCCTCACTGACAGGACACGGCAGCTGCACCTGTCCACTACCAGAAGCTCCCGAACGATGCACTCCAGAGCGACTACCACTACGGCCACTCCGACAGCTCAAACTAGCGTACCACTCACGCGCACAATGCAGCTGGGGCGAAGGAGGACACGGCTGCTGCACCTGTCCACTACCAGAAGCTCCCGACCGATGCACTCCAGAGCGACTACCACTACGGCCACTCCGACAGCCCAAACTAGCGTACCACTCACGCGCACGAAGCAGCTGGGGCGAAGGAGGACACGGCTGCTGCACCTGTCCACTACCAGAAGCTCCCGACCGATGCACTCCAGAGCGACTACCACTACGGCCACTCCGACAGCTCAAACTAGCGTACCACTCACGCGCACGAAGCAGCTGGGGCGAAGGAGGACACGGCTGCTGCACCTGTCCACTACCAGAAGCTCCCGACCGATGCACTCCAGAGCGACTACCACTACGGCCACCCCGACAGCCCAAACTAGCGTACCACTCACGCGCACGAAGCAGCTGGGGCGAAGGAGGACACGGCAGCTGCACCTGTCCACGACCAGAAGCTCCCGACCGACCCACTCCAGAGCGACTACCACTACGGCCACCCCGACAGCCCCGACTAGCGTACCACTCACGCGCACGAAGCTGCTGGGGCGTGGGGGACTCACGCGCACAGCCCTGGAGCTGCATCTGGCCACGTCAGGAGCAGCAGTAGTAGCAGTAGCGGCAGTAACAGTAGTAACAGCAGGAGCAGTGGCAGTGGGAGTAGAAAAGGCAGTTGCAGCAGTACTGGGCAATGCTCACCAGTGGTCGGCGCGGCAGGCGCAAGACGGTGGCGACAGTGGGGCCGCTACAACTGCAGGGCTGGGCCGGGCCGCAGCAGGGAGCTCCGCGGCAGCTGCGGCAGGGCGAGGCTGGGCCGCGACGGCAGCTGCTCCAGGTGCCAGGGGCGGCTGCTGCAGTGGCGGGCGGCTCCAGGGGCGGCTGCTGCAGTGGCGAGCGGCTCCAGGGGCTGCTGCTGCAGTGGCGGGCGGCTCCAGGGGCTGCTGCTGCAGTGGCGGCTGCTCCAGGGGCGAGAGGCGGATTAGGTCAGGGCGACGCGGCGGGCAGGTGGCGACGCCGCGGGCAGGGCGACGCGGCGGGCAGGTGGCGACGCCGCGGGCAGGGCGACGCGGCGGGCAGGTGGCGACGCCGCGAGCAAGGGACGACGCCGCGGGCAGGCGACGACGCCGCGGGCAGGCGACGACGCCGTGGGCAGGCGACGACGCCGCGGGCAGGCGACGACGCCGCGAGCAGGCGACGACGCCGCGGGCAGGCGGCGACGCCGCGGGCAGGCGACGACGCCGCGGGCAGGCGACGACGCCGCGGGCAGGCGACGACGCCGCGGACAGGGGCTACGTCGCGGGCAGGCAACGACGCCGCGGGAAGGCGGCGACGCCACGGGCAGGGCGACGCGGCGGGCGGCGAGAGCCTGCAGGGGCGGCGCGCGGTCGTGCAGAGGCTGCGCGCGGGCCTGACGGGTGTGCAGGGGCGGCTCTCGGGCCTGACGGGCCTGCAGCGGCGGCTCGGGGGCCTGACGGACCTGCAGGGGCAGCTCGAGAGCGCACGAGGGCGCACGAGGGCGCACGAGGGCGTACGAGGGCGCACGAGGGCGCACGAGGGCGCACGAGGGCGTACGAGGGCGCACGAGGGCGCACGAGGGCGCACGAAGGCGCACTAGCAGAGAAAGGCGCACGAGGGCGCACGTAAGGTAGAGCGCACGAGGGCGCACGTAAGGTAGGGCGCACGAGGGCGCACGTAAGGTAGGGCGCACGAGGGCGCGCCTAGCGGAATAGTGGGCCCATTGTAGAAAGCGGTCCTAGGTAGCAACCTAGGCTTCTGATACCATGTCAGAATCTAGAATAGAACGAGAATGGATGAACTAGCAGGAAGGTGGGTACAAGTATGAAACCCTAAGTTTGTGTACCCTCTAAGGCTAAACCCACTATAGCCTACACAATATAAACATACAATGTTTGACACAGCAGCGACCAGCGCCACGACGAGAACGCAAACGGCTCGCCTTCTACGCCGACAACACCGAAGAGCGAAAGCCACGGCGCCTCTACTGCAAAATCTGCAGAAACTTCGGGCATTTGGCGGATCGCTGCAAGCACCGATCTCGCCCTCGCCAGATCAACCCGAGCACTTGGTCCGGCCGACAAGACGCACGAGGCGACGTGCGTCCAGCCCAGGGGTATCAGCCCCCTCCCGCGCGCAACCTGAACCCAGCGGTTCAGCATCAGCAGCAGCAGCCGTCATCGACTGCCCCAGTTCGCAACGTCATGAGCAACATGGCCATGACAGGCGAATCACGTCGTCGCCGCGTGCGCTCACCTTCACCTGAGCCGGCACCGCACCCCATTGGCGCATTCAACAACAACAACCCATTTAGCCCGCGCCATGACTTCACCGACGACGACGATCAGGACTGGAACCTCCCAGTCCCGCTGCTTGAGAGTCCCCCGCACGTACCTGATATGCGGGTGGCGTTAATTGATTGGCTCTCGCGCGAGCAATTTCTCAAGTTTGACACCCCGCACATCGTCACGCCGCGACTGGCGCTGCTCGCACGTGACGACAACAAGCGCTACAACACCTGGTACCTGGACAGCTGCTGCGGCCAGCATATGGTGGGGTCCGAGCGTTACATATCCAACGCCGTCCCCACCCCTACCGTCACTTATGTCACTGCGGCGAACAATACGCGCCTGCGCGCAAGCGCGCAAGGCATCGTTGTGCTCAAAGCACGCGGAAGCCGCACGCACATCACGCTTAACGATGTGCTGATCGTCCAGAACCTGCGCTTCAACCTCCTGTCCGCCGCACAACTCATGGATTGCGGCGTCGACCTCAGCACGGACCGCGCGACGCGAGACATCCTGCTGCACTATGAGGCGCGCAACTTCCCCCGCAGGCAGATCGGACGAGCGCACTCCGAAAATGGAGTGTACGTCCTGGATTTCGACATCCCCGACTGCAGCGGTGACTTGCACGAGCTGATTGACCTCGTGCCACTGCGCTTCGAACACATCCACCGCAGGGACTGGAAGCACCCTGACGGCAGGCCCTAGGTGCCGCATCATCCTCACCCACACGAAACGGCGTTACACAACCCTGACCCCGATGGCATATGCAGGGATTGCCACACGCCGACGACCTCAACAAGCGTGATTGCAGGCCGCGGGCTCGCCGCCATCGCTGAAGCAGAGCGTACCGCGCCTCCCGAGGAAGGGATGTCGCAGCTCGAGCTTGAAGTTGCTACCCATGGCGTTTTCGGCACCGAAGAGCATCCCCTCATCGGTCCCCCCTCACAGCACCTGCAAGGCATGCTGCGCGGAACTGGCGTCGGTACCATTGATGCCCTTGGCGAGCCGCGCCCCTACACCTACGAGAAATTCTTGAAAGTCTACTCGACCCAACGCGACTCGAAAAATAAGCTCACCGTGGAGCAAGAGGAAGAACTGGCGCGCCGCGAAGCCGAGGAGCTTCGCCAGCAAAGCCTCGCGGAAGCACGCGGGACCTTCGCTTGCGCCGCCTGGGGAGCTGAGGAGGAAGCGAGCGACTCCAATGAAGGGGGGTGGGGGAGCGCTGGAGGATGGGGAACCAGCGATACTAGCGGATGGGGCAACAACGGCGGAACCTGGGCCAACGCAAGCGGCGGATGGGGCGCCGCACCAAGGACCGACAATAGCGGCTGGGGTACTTTCCGCGAAGAACGAAAGGGGGGAGCAGAAGAAGCCGAGGAAACTGAGGCAACACCTGCAGTCGTTCCCCTCGGTCGTCCCCCGCGTCACGTTCCACTCGCACTACCTCCTCCTGACAACCCCCCGCGCCGCGACCCATGGGACACCATCATCTGGGGTAACGAACCGTCAACCCCGCGCCGCACCGTCTACGGACCTGCCCCCGAGCCCCGTGAACCTACCTTCGTCCCTGGAACCATCCCTGGGACCAACATCCCGCTCTCTGAGATCCGCGACAGAGAATTTTTGGCGCTAATGTTGACTACCGCGGCAGTAGAAGAAGAAGCAGAAGAAGCAGCAGCAGAACCTGCTCCCGTACCTGATGAAGACCCTGAGGAAGCGCGCGCGCGCTACATGCGCACCTCCGGCTTTCGCGCTGACGATGCACTCTGGCACCAGCGCCTCGGACACCCTTCACGCGCGACGCTGAAAAACTGCATCGACGCAGGCGTCTTCGGGGTCGAGGACGAACTGTACACACGCACCTTCATCGACGCCGGAACGCGCTATGTGTGGGTCGTGAACGTGGAAACTCGTGACAGGGCATACAAGGTATTTCGCCTCTCGCTGGCGCATGCGGAGCGGCAATCTGGGAAGAAACTCAAGATCTGGCAATCTGACGGCGCGGCAGAGTTCAGGAGCAACCAGATGCAGACATTCCTGACGCAAAAGGGGATCGAGCATCACATTTCTCTCCCCTACGCGCACCAGCAGCAGGGCGTAGCTGAGCGGACGAACCGCACGCTGATGACGAAAGTACGCGTGCTGATGAAGCAGTCGAAATTGCCGCCGATCTACTGGACCTACGCGATGCACCACGCCGTGCGGGTGCACAACCTGCTTTCAACCACTGCAATCACCGGCAACCTGTCCCCGCACGTCAAATGGACAGGAACCAATGGGGATACCTCCATGCTCCGCGTATGGGGGTGTATGGTCCAGTACCGTCCGCCAACCTCAACCATCGGCAAGTTCGCCAGCCGCGCGCGCTGGGGGATCCATCTCGGCATCAGTCACGAGCACAAGGCATGGATCGTGCTGGACCTCCTCAGTCAAAAAACCGCTCACGCTCGCGACATAATTTTCAACGAGCGTCTCTTCCTCGACCAGTTCCGCGACGACGAGCAGAGGAATGCAGATCGCGTCTACACGAACAACGGGCACAGCTACGCAACGCCCGAAGACGAAGCCGCTGCAGCACTTCTGGAGCAAGACACCAGGGCCGAATTCACTTGGGAAGATCGGCGCAGCAGCGACGACGACGACGATGATTCCTCGGGAGGAGGAATAGGCGGAACAGGCGGAAGCGGAACGGGCGGAAGCGGCGGAGGCGCAACACCACCAGCAACACCCGAACCTGAGAGCGATGACGACGATGTGCAGGAAGTCATCCCGCAGCGTCGCCACGACAGTACCGTCTCAGGACTGCAACTGCTCGGGCTTCACACCGCAACCTCGAAGGCGCCACGCATCATCGAGCCCCGAAATCCGCGCGAGGCTCTCTCTGGACCACACAGCAAGGAGTGGCGTGAGGCGATGGACGCGGAAATCAAGGCGCTGGAGTCACGGGACACCTGGGTACTCGTCGACCGCGCAGCAATCAAGGGCGCAAGGATCCTCTCGGGGAAGTGGGTCTTCCGCGTGAAGACCGCAGCGGATGGGACGATCAGAGGCACGGGATCGACTTCGACCAGACGTTCGCCCCGGTTAGCCGTCACACCTCCGTCCGCATCCTGCTCGCAATCGCAACTGCAAGGCACCTACCACTTCGTCAGATCGACATGAAGAACGCGTTCCTGTACGCGTTAGTGGACGCCGTGATCTACGTGGAGCAGCCACACACCTACGGCGAAGGAGACTCGCGCGTGTGTCAGCTGCGCAAGTCACTGTACGGCATCAAGCAGGCTCCGAGGCTGTGGCAGCAGTACCTGCACAACATCCTGCTTGAAATCGGGTTCAAGCAGATGCCGCACGATCCAGGGATGTACCGCCGCGACTTTCACAAGGAATATATTCTCCTCACGGTGTACGTCGACGACCTGCTCTACACAGGCTCAAACAACGAGCTACTCGAGCAGTTCGAGAAGGCCTTGGCGGGGCGCGTCGACATCACGTGCAATTACGAGGTGAAGCAGTTCCTAGGCCTCAACATCTCCTACGCGCCTGAGGCCATTCACCTCTCAGCGGCTAAGTACGCAGAGGAGTTAGGGAAGCGGTTCAACATTTCACCTGCACCCCTCTCAACTCCCTACCGAACCCCCGGACCGAACCACAAACCCGACAACAAAGCCCTATCCCCTGCTGGGATTCAGACTTACCAGCAGCAGTTGGGATGCCTCCTCTTCGCCTCTGTCACCTGCAGGCCAGACCTCTGTCAGTTGGCGCAGTACTCACGCAAACCAACGGCTGAGAATCATCTGGACCTGCAGCGCGCCCTCCAGTTCTTCATTTCAACGCCCAAAATTGGGTTGTGCTACTCAACTGCACCAACCCCATCCTTCAACCTCGTCGGCTACGTGGACGCCGATCACGCAGCAGATCCCGATAATCGACGGTCCAGGACTGGCTTCCTGTTCCGACTCGAGCCAACGGGACCAATCTCCTGGAATTCGCAGAAGCAGGAGTTGGTTGCCCTGTCATCAGCCGAAGCGGAATTCATCGCAGCAACCGCAGCAGTTCGCGAAGGCCTCTACCTGCAGGAACTTCTGCAAGAGGCGAAAATTCCGACTTCGCCGACCTTCCGCCTTCACTGCGACAACCAGAGCGCGATTCGCATCGCGAACAAACCTGGTTTCGTCAACCGCACCAAACACATTGCGCTGCGGTACTTCTTCGTGAAGGATGAGGTGGACAAGGGCAAGGTCAACTTGACCTACTGCCCGACCGGTGACATGGCAGCAGACTTCCTCACGAAGCGACTGCCACGCCAGCAGTATCAGCACTGCTCCGAACTCAGCGGCGTGGTCAAGCAGGTCAAGTCGAGCTACGGCCAGGAGTGAAGGGGGGTGTTACGAATAGTAATATTTGATATTACTGTGCACTCCTCACCGTAGCAAAGAGAAGCACGCAGTATCGGGAATGAACGCGAAGCGTCAGACGGTTGGAATTGACTCGAAGCGTCAGACAGTTGGGACGCATCTGGACCGTCGGAGCAGACGGCATCGGGCAGCTGCAGGCAGGATGGTTTTTGCGGGCACAGTTACGAAACTGTACGCGCCGCACAGTTGGGAATGAATTTGAATAAGGGAATGTACCCCTTAGAGTACATGGCTAGTTAGGTCGTTTCGTATTCCCTTGTACTCATATTTATATTTCTTGTACTTGCATGTTTCATTCATCTCAAGCATTTTACATTCACTCTGCTATTGAGGTCAAGGGCCCACCAACACTACCTTACTGTCAAAATGAAGAATGGATGATGCATTGATGTTGGTTGGGGTACATATAGCTAACCCTAAGTTTTGTACCCCCTAAGACAAACCTCACTATAGGCTACAACATTTGACACACCCCCATAGCCTAAGTGAGGGGTGTCTAGCAGAACCAAACGAGTACGGTCACAAGACCAGTCCAAGAAACGAAGCTCAGGGTGGATCACAACGTCACCACACAGTCTGAGCACAAACAACAGTGGCCACAAGGCCAGTCCAAGAAGTAACAGAGGTATATAGAAAGCAAAGTAAACAGTACACTCAAGTCTAAGCAACACGAGAACCAGTGTCAACAAGGCCTAACTGCACACAGCACCTCTGGTGGTCACAAGGCGGAAGCGCCTTGGTGAAGATGTCTGCAGTGTTGGCCTCGGACCAGTCGGCCTCCAGTGCACCTGCTGCCTCGGCGTCCAGCTTTCTGCCAGGGAGAGGCTTCCACCGTTCCGACGACGTCCATTCGTCGGCACCAAAGATATCAGTGAAGTACTTTGTCGCTGCTTTCAGTATCCCCGGTGAGTCTGTGATTTTGGAGCCGTCGACCGTCAGAGAGAACCAATGCTGTTATGTAGAGTCGTGAGAGCCATTGCCAAAACCGATGAAATCAAGGGTCCATGGTGACAGGTTAGCTCGAAATGTGCTTGCAACCTTGAGATGCTCCCGTGTAGCTGAGGATATAATGTCCGCTTGATAGACACAAAAGTTCTATCCTCGGCCTCATAAAGAACAGGGGATGTCAGAACTGATCTCAATGTTACAAACTGATAAGTAATGTGTTACGAATAGTAATATTTGATATTACTGTGCACTCCTCACCGCAGCAAAGAGAAGCACGCAGTATCGGGAATGAACGCGAAGCGTCAGACGGTTGGAATTGACTCGAAGTGTCAGACAGTTGGG